TAAGAACAAATTTTAAAATTAATACAGTAAAATTTACAATTTTTATTTTAAAGAAGTATGAACGGTGTAACTCCAGGTGAATGTAAAAATTATCGTCCCTATGGTAAAATATATGATTTTTATTTCAAATAAGTATGAACGAGGTAAATATTAGAACCTCTGAAATTGAGGCCCTATACTGTTGCCCATCTTAATTCTTACAAGCCTCAATATCCGACCATGGGTTAGATTTATGGATCATTATGATGTGCATCCGTATGCACCATGCATGGTGCATCCGGATGAAAAAACGACGTTGTTTTGGCGTCTAACTTAAAAAAATAAATAAATAAATAAATTCAGAAATGCATAACTACACATCCATAATTTCATCACATCCATAATTTCATAACTATACATAACTACACATCCATAATTAAAATAACTTTAAATCCAGAATTGCATAACTACACATCCATAACTTCATAACTATACATCCAGAATTGCATAACTACACATCCATATATGGATTCATCATTCAACTTTTTTACTGCAAACACCTGACCATTGGATAACTCAGCTCGAAATACACTTCCAGATCCTCCCACTCCAATGCAGTATCTTGAATCAAACTTGTCTGTTGCTTCAAGACAGTTAACCTTTGACAACTTCTTAAGCCCTCTGGAACAAAACCAATGAACCTATTTGCACCCAAGTTCAACTCTGTGATCAAAGACAATTCCCCAATTCCTAATGTTATGTTGCCAAACAGTTTGTTGTCATCCAACTTTAAAACACCCTAGTAATGTAGAGTACTAAAACTCTTTGGAATGTTCCCAACAAGTTCATTGGAAGAGAGATCAAGCAATTCTAGATGAGATGCATTTGCAAGTTCAGGTGGGATATTCCCAGAAATTCTCTTTCTGGAAATCTTCAAAGCTGCTAGCTTTGAACAAAAACCCTGTCTGAAGATAGCTGGCCATGGAAGTTATTGGAACTCAAATCAAAGTAATTTAGGTTTGGATATATTCCAAAATCTTCAGATAAGTCTCCTGAGAGTTGTTATATTCAAGCCTAACTCTTTTAAAGGTTGTGCAGTTTTTTATGCCTTTGGGAATGTTTCCACTAATGTTATTGTACACAACTGAAAATAGGTTAGTGACTTGCCAAGACATAAATTCTCTGGCAAAGGACCTGAGAAATGATTACTACCTATTTCAAAATAAGTGAGATTTGCACTAACATTATTTAGTTCTAATGGAAGGTGGCCACTGAGTTGATTGAAAAATAGAGAAAATTAAATCTATTCAATTTTGTCAAGTTTCTAACTGAACAAATAATTTGAATCTACTCTTAGTATGACAAGGGTGGATAACAATCCAATTTCTTCGAGAATACGACCAGAAAGTTCATTAACATGGAGATGAAGGAATTCTAAATTTTTCAAACCTCCTAAAGAGAAAGGAATTTGCCCAGTGAGATTATTATAAAATAAGGCCAAAGTCCTCAAATTTCCAATGGTAGCCGGAATGCTAACAGAGAGTCCATTTGTGTTGAGATACAACTCCCTTGAATTTTTCAAATTTTCAATTGAAGTAGGGATTTGACCAATGAGATTATTTAAATCCATATTTAAATCAATAAGGGATGTCAATAAACCAATTTCTTGAAAAATGTGACCTGAAAGTTGATTTGTATCAAGGTGTAGTAGAATCCTTAAAATTTGCAAGTTCCCTATAGAAATTGGAATTTCACCAGTGAGGTTGTTCGAGTTCATCACATCCATAATTTCACAACTATACATCCAAAATTACATAACTACACATCCATAATTTAATAACTATAAATCCAGAATTGCATAAGTATACATTCATAACTTCATAACTATACATCCAGAATTGCATAACTACACATCCATAACTTCATAACTATAAATCCATAATTGCATAACTACACATTCAGAATTGCATAACTATACATCTAGAATTGCATAACTATAAATCAAGAATTTCATAATTAAAAATCCAAAATGAATGAACTAAAAAATGAATAACATAATGTTGTTGCTGGGAATCGAAACTGATTTTTTGTTTTAAGTAGGACGCGCGTTTTGATGCAAAACGACGTCGTTTTTGCATCCGTATGCACCATGCATGGTGCATACGTATGCACAGCATAATTTGCCCAAATTTATTGCATAGCTGTATATCTATTACTTTCTTTGGCTTTGATATTTCTATTATTTCTGTTACATTATTATTTTTTTGTCAACTTTTAAAAAAATAAAAAATAGCATGACCATACCATTATTTCTCATCGAAAGAGATTGAACAAAAGATTAATTGCAAAATGCAAAGGCTCAGTTGCGAAGAATACCCCAAGAAGTGATACAATTGTATTTCTTATAGGTACGAAGGAAAAGACAGAGTGAGAGCTACATGATTTGAGTGAATCGCGAGGAAGAAACTAACCCCCCAGAATTTTATTTTATTTTTTAAATACAATTGACTCTATTACAAGGTATTATATATTCTAAATTTTCTCTAACTAATGCAATTTAAAGGGTCAATACTCCACCACTGGAGTTCAATCCTGTGACCTTTTCTCAAGGAGAACCACAGATGTGTCATCCGAACACAAGGTACTTGGCAAATCCTGCAGAACTTAAGAATTGAAGAAGTTGAATATGGGTCTTGGAATATAAGTGAGAACGTGCGTGGGAGTTATAAATTAGATTGTCTAATTCAGTTAAAATATGAGTCTAGTTAGACTTAATTGGACAAATAATAAAAATAGAGTTTTATTACATGTACTTCTAAATTCTATTCCGTCAGTTTTTACTCTATGATATAGCAAACAATAATAGGATATTTCACCATATGAGTCTTAGGGAAAGTGTTTATATCAAAGACTTATGAGAAGGAGTAAAAGTTGAGAGTAAGAAATTGAGTACATATAGTATTTTTCTTAAAAATATAAGTCTAACCTATCCCATAACTCAAAATAATAAGATATGGCAAATTATTATATGGACCATGGTCCATACAGTGTTTAGTGGACCATAAAAAATACATTTTTAATATATTAAAAGGGTCGTTATATCGTGGATCACAGTGCACGTGCACCGCGGTCAAAACGGTGCGCCGTTAGGGTTAACGGGCCACGCATTTTTTTGCATGTTAATTACCAACTGACACTACAGTATATCTAAATCGACACTGCCTCACGTATTATTTTTATATTATCAAATGAAACTGCAGTTATATCAAAATGATACTGTAGTTGAGGTGAAATGAAACTGCAGTGTATATAAAATGAAACTGAATAACATTTCACATATTTGAGTGTATGTTGTACAATGAAGCTGTAATTATATCAAAATGATCATGTAGTTGTGTTTTAATAAAACTATAGTGTATATAAAATAAAATTAAATAACATTTTCACATATTTGAGTCTATAAATATCGAATGAAACTGTAGTTATATCGAAACTAAACTGTAATTGTGTTGAACTGAAACTGCAGTGTATACAAAATGAAACTGAATAACAGAGTTACTTTTGCGGAAGTGTGCGGAACGACAGGAAACGGATGCCGTTTCTTTTCATTAAACAAAACGACGTCATTTTGATGCGCGGTGCACGATATAATTTGGCATATTAAAATGACATTATTTGTGTACCGAATATACATTATACAAAACCTTTGTTATTTCTCAACGAATCATAGGGAGCTTCTAGAAATGCTTTATTGTTTGGGATGGAACCTTCTAACTAATTGTATGATACATCAATCATATCTACAACAGAACTAAGACTGAGAAATAATTGATGGAATGTACCCTAAGAGATTATTGTGCGATAGGTTAAATTAAACTTTTCAAAAGTTATCTTTCCATTTCATACTAAGTAATCTTCTTGATTTCATACAAGAGTAGACATAAAACAATGATTACAAATTAGGAAGATGAGAAATTGAAGATTAATGTTGTACTTAGGCAGTGGGAAATTGAAGACCAAACAATTGGCAAAGTGTGATATGATGGAACAAGTCCGAAGGCTGCATTTTCTTGGACAGTAATGCAGAAACTTGGAGCATAGTTGGCCGAGATTCTGGATTGAAATTTAGACACGAAAATGCTATTTTTGCAATCAACACCAATACTTCAGCTTCATGTTTCCCAGGACTTGAAGGTCGAGGGTCCAATACCTCCTTCAAAATAAGGTTTTCGTTTTCAGATAATGAAGACGATGAAATGGATGCAACAATGTCACCCGGATGTCGTCCCATAATCACTTCTAAAACTAACACTCCGAAACTGAACACATCACACTTTTCGTTCACTTCCATTGTGTAAGCAAACTCTATAAACAAAATCAAAACAAGAAAAACAACTGTGTCATTAACTGTGTAGTTTATATAATTAATAAAAATCACTGCTGGAAATTATGGAATTTCCGACCACATGAAAGTGATCTTAAATTAAGTCGAAAGCAAAAAGTGGTCGGAAATAGCAACAAAGGTTTTTCCGGATACCAAAACTGGTCGGAACAAGGCTTTTGACTTGATTTAATAAGATCACTTTCAGATGGTCGGAAATTCCATAATTTCCAGCAGTGAATATCAATTAGTACAATACATACCTGGAGCAGTATAGCCAAATGTTCCAACAAACGAAGTCCAGTTCGATGAATTGGAATTCAAGAGTTTAGCCGTGCCAAAATCAGATATATGAGCCTCGTATTCATGGTTAAAAAGAATATTCTTGCTGGATATGTCTCAGTGAACAATAGTAGGGAAACAACCATGGTGCATGTATGATAATGCTTTCGCCATAGCTTTAACAACATTCACCCTCCTAACCCAATCCAATTCTTTTGATTGTTCATCATGGCTCAGTACCTGTGCCATGCTCCCACCTTCCAAGTACTCATAAACTAGGAACGCATGTCGCACGTGAGAGCAAAAACCATAGAGCCTAACAACATTTCGATGTCTCAACTCAGTTAAACTGCGAATCTCATTTGAAAAACTTTTCAAGTCCTGAGATCCATCATTCAACTTTTTTACTGCAAACACCTGACCATTGGATAACTCAGCTCGAAATACACTTCCAGATCCTCCCACTCCAATGCAGTATCTTGAATCAAAGTTGTCCGTTGCTTCTACTATGCTTTCATATGCAATATTCCCATCAAAGTTCAATATTGTGAATAAATTTTCACTGGATGCCCTTGGCATTTCTTTGATGCACCTTTTTAGTGGAATCAACCATATGACAACAACCATCGCAACAACACCAACAACTCCAATTGGTATCACTATGATTAAGACTAAACTTGTTGTTTTGTGGCCTTGATCTGTCTTCTTTTCAGGAGATCCAGAAAAACATCGCTTCAAACCAGCTATGTTGCCACACAAACCTTTGTTGTTTCTTATGGATTCAAATGTAGCATTTTCAAATGCTTTGTTGTTTGGGAGCATTCCTTCTAACTCATTATAGGATACATCAATGGAAACCAAACCTAAACATTGAGCAATGCTTGATGGGATGGAGCCCGACAACTTATTGTGTGAAACATTCAAGCTTTGTAAGGATAACAATCCTCCAAACTGTTGTGGTAGCTTGTCAGTTAGCATGTTTTGACTGAGATCAAGAATTTGAAGGAACTGCAAGCTTCCTATATCATAAGGAATCCGACCCTCTAACAAATTTTGACTCAAATTCAACACAGTTAACCTTTGACAACTTCTTAAGCCCTTTGGAACAAAACCAATGAACCTATTTGCACCCAAGTTTAACTCGGTGATCAAAGACAATTCCCCAATTCCTAATGTTATGTTGCCAAACAGTTTGTTGTCATCCAACTTTAAAACACCCAAGTAATGTAGAGTACTAAAACTCTTTGGAATGTTCCCAACAAGTTCATTGGAAGAGAGATCAAGAAATTCTAGATGAGATGCATTTGCAAGTTCAGGTGGGATATTCCCAGAAATTCTATTTCTGGAAATCTTCAAAGCTGCTAGCTTTGAACAAAGACCCCAGTCTGAAGATAGCTGGCCATGGAAGTTATTGGAACTCAAATCAAAGTAATTTAGGTTTGGATATATTCCAAAATCTTCAGATATGTCTCCGGAGAGTTTGTTATATTCAAGCCTAACTCTTTGGAGGGTTGTGCAGTTTTTTATTCCTTTGGGAATGTTTCCACTAAAGTTATTGTACACAACTGAGAAATAGGTTAGTGACTTACCAAGGCATAAATTCTCTGGCAAAGGACCTGAGAAATGATTACCACCTATTTGAAAAAGAATGAGTTTTGCACTAATATTATTTAGTTCTGATGGAAGGTGACCACTAAGTTCATTGAAAAATAGAGAAAATCTATACAATTTTGTCAAGTTTCTAACTGAACTAGGTATTTGACCAAACAAATAATTTGAGGACACATCTAGTTCGACAAGAGAGGATAACAATCCAATTTCTTCGGGAATACGGTCAGAAAGTTCATTATCATTGAGAATAATTGATTCTAAATTTGTCAGACCTCCCAAAGAGATAGGAATTTGACCATTGAAGTTATTGGAAAATAAGACCAAATACCTCAAATTCGTCAAATTTCCAATGGTAGCAGGAATGCTACCAGAGAGTCCATTTTTGTTGAGATACAACTCCCTTAAATTTTTTAAATTTCCAATTGAAGTAGGGATTTGACCAATGAGATTATTAAAACCCATTTCTAAATCAATAAGGGACGTCAATAAACAAATTTCTTGAGGAATGTGACCTGAAAGTTGATTTGTATGAAGATGTAGAATCGTTAAATCTTGCAAGTTCCCTATAGAAATAGGAATTTGACCCGTGAGGTTGTTCGAGTTCAATTCCAAATCTACTAGCGAATTTAAATATCCAATCTCGGGAGGAATTGGACCCGTAAACCAATTTCTATTGAGACGCATAATTGTTAAATTTCGGAAATGGAGCATATCTTTAATAAAAGAAATGCTACCACTGAGTGAATTTTCAGAAAGATCAATAATTTGCAAATGGAACAAGGATGAGAAATTCAAATCTTGAAGAGTACCTCTTAAATCGTAACCAGAAAGATTCATGCTTATAACACTCTCATCTCCATTACAAGTGACTCCAATCCATTTGCATGGATTGCTACCAGCCCATGATGAAAGTACTTGTTGGCTTTTGCCATCAAGACTGGACTTCCAAGTTAAAAGAGCACCTACTTGCAGATCATGATTTGCAGGCAAAAATGGATTGGTGTTTGTAGTATTGGAAATAGGGTAAGCAAAAGAAAGATGAAGAGATAAGAGGTGTTTAATAGTAAGCAACAATAATAGTTTATATGCAGGTTTTCTCATTGTGACACACGAGGAGAAATTACAGTGTGTTTACTGGGTGAATATAATGCAGAAGGAACAAGGAGGCCAAGGTATATATAGATTCTGGGATTTAGTCTAAATAATATTTCTATTGAATTGAAGTAATTAATGAGAATCCTGTGGGGAAATTTCTATTGCTTTCCTTCACTAATTGTCCTCTTGCGTTCATTTATTGTATTCACCATTTTAACTAGTTTGGTCAGATTTATTGTTTTCTTTGACTTTGATACTTCCAGAGCCTGTTCTCAAAGTTGATTTTCTTCCTCAACTAGAAAAGGCTCTTGTATATCTGTATTTAGCTATGAAGCTTTAATTTGAGCCTTTGAGTGACAAGCTAAGATTCGACAATTTATATCGTGCATCAGGGCGCGCATTGCATTGTGCTCCCTGATGCAAAACGACGTCGTTTCACATAACTGTATAAAAAATGCACATAATTGTATAAACAAACACACATAGTGGATTAACCACACAATGCATCGATGAAAATTTTAAAAACAATACAACATGCAAAGTGGATTAACCACACAATGCTTGGATGAAAATTTTAAAAATGTTGAAATAAGAGTTAAATAGGTCACTCAATTGCACACTAAACTATAATTAGGGCATGAAACTAATATATATATATATATATATATATATATATATATAATTGAGTCCCTGAATAATACAAATTCATATAATTAGACCTCTTCTGAGTATGATTTGGGAGTAAAATTTAAAGAGTATGATTTGGGAGTTTATGTAGTAGAATTCTTTTACTAAAGTGTATGAAAACATACAAGCTAATTAATTAAGCATCCCATCAAAATGTGTGTCCACAACCCAAGCCGCCACAAACGCCGGGTAAACTTCTGACTTGAAGAAAATGACACCACCATTGACTTGAAACAAATATCCAAACGAAACAAATTAATTAGGGCGATTCAATCGAGTGCATTGGCCTTTCATTGCCGAATTTAATGTCTATCTGCATTCATTTCCCTCTATAGTTTTTTTTTTTTTTTTTTTTTAACAAGATAAGTTTATTTAGTACTTGGCAAAAAGTTCTACAATTTTCGCTAGAAGAAAGGCTTGAACCTTCGATCTTGTTGTGGTTACCAGCCACACGCTTTAACCAACCGTTCGACGGTCCCCGGTCACTTTTTTGTCTAAAAATACGTCGGAAAATGGTCGGATCTTCAATGACCTATGATAGCAGGTCATTTATCTGTATTTGGGCTTCATTGCATCAAAATGCATTGTTTATAGGTGTAATTGCAAATGTTTGAGGACTTATTTGACCCTTTTCCCTAGAATATTTAGATGTACTTGAATGTGTATGCAAATTCATTTCCAAGGTTTTTCACTAATACTAATTCCTATCTTAATCTTAATTATATGCAAGTGTATCAATTTCCAGTATAAAAATCATTGGTTTTTGTGCCAGAAAAGTGACTGAATTTAGGTTCAACCTCTTGTTGAGACATCTCAGTAAATACACACGAAGCCTTCTCCTTTTTGAGAAAGATCATCAATGGTCACATTCCAAGGAACTAACTATAGGTGCATGCAGTAAGCAGATATACTCATAAGTGGCAAACAATCGGCAAGAGCATTCTGGACCTTTGCCCGCTCCACACAAGGAACCTCCTCACTTTAAGAGGTTGCTCCACACTGCCGCCATACAAGGAAAATCCCCCCTCACTTTGAGAGGTTGCTCCGCCGCTGGTGAGACTCGATCTCTGGTCATTCTTCCAAACTTTCACCTCTATGACTAGTTGAGCTGCCCACGCGGGTATGCATGTTCAATTATTAATTAATTGATTGGTGCCCAGAATCTGCTAGGGAAATAATCTGATGCCCAGCAGCGAGTTCTCTGGCCGTTTGTAAGCAGCCGGCGAATTTCCAGCGTTAAGAGGCGGCGGACGAAGAGGCTTGATTTGGGTGCAGTTACCGTTGCCAATCGCTTGTCCCGTTGGAGAAGATCTCGGCCACCATTAGTCTGAAATGATCATCTCCAACCAACAAATTCGTTCTGGGATGTAGAAACGCAGAGACTACTACGGATCATCTGGTTCCGTTCACTATGATGGCGGATGTAGAGCAAAGTACGAATAACGTGTTAATCAGAGAGATAAAGGGAGAAAGGAGGATCATTTCTTATTCATCATCTTTTCTCTATACAACAAGTATATATATATATATATATATATATATATATATATATATATATATATATATAAAGTAATTAACGGAAGTAATAATGAGAGATAATTACATAACAATTACAAACGTTACAATACTATATAATAATGTCCATAATAAATATAATATTTATAACATTTTACATATTTTCACGTTTTCCCTACATATCATTTTCTTTATTTTTTGAATTCAATGTTGTTTACCCATTTCTCCTTTTTTTTTTCTACGTTTTAATTTCCATTTTCGTGCAACATAACATGGAACGGGTGTGGGTTGATTAATATATGAGTTGTCAATGATATATGACAGATGGATCGCAGCGTTGCATATTAAGTCAAGCGCTTAGTTATCTGGTAGTTCTATTTTTTTTAAAATCAATTGGTGATAAGAAATAGGACATTAATCATTTAATCACATCTCTCCTTGGTAAGTCATAGTGTCACGCCTCGAAACGAGCAGAGGCACTCTCTTAGCAACTACCGCAACCTTTGATCACCCAGCCCAATTGCACAACATGCATGACTCGGTCCTTAGACTTCATGCCAACTATTCCCATCCCATCCGGGACTGGACTCGATTTTTGCCTCGCCTTCGATTCTAACCTGTGACCTCAGCTATGATACCAATTGATGGTCATGTCCTACTTAAAACCAATTGGTAATAAGTAATTGGACATTAACTATTTAACCACATCCTTCCATGGTAAGTCACAACGCCACGCCTCAAATTGAGTAAAGGCTAAACTCGGCCAACGCCCAACAAATAAAAATAAAAAAATTTTAAATTCTAAAAACATAAATAATGTCACGTTAGAGTTCAATTTTAGTAGGAAAAATAATTTTTTTTTACAATGTCGAAAATTAAAATAAGTTCTTTAAATGATTATTAATCATTCATTGTAACGAAAATTATTTATTATTGAGTTATACAATTATAATTAGTTTATATATATATATATATATATATATATATATATATATATAGAGAGAGAGAGAGAGAGAGAGAGTTACACCATTAGTGGTAGGGAGTTATATGGTGTATTTTTTTTGGGTGTGTTGTGTATTTTTGCATTTCATTATTGTGTGTTTCTCTTACACTATTGGTGCATATTGTTAACATTGTTGGTGTATTCTGAAAACCGCCACAAGACCGCACGAGAGGTCTCGCCACATTATTTGAACTTTTCTCTCTCTCTCTCTCTCTCTCTCTCTCTCTCTCTCTCTATATATATATATATATATATATATATATATATATATATATATATATATATATATATATATGTATATATATATATATATATAAGAGCCAAAGAGAGTTAGGCCTATAATGGGTAGAAAAAATGGCGGTCAAATTTTTTAATCAAATGAATGGTTCAGATTGATTATATTTTAATTTTTCCTTGAGATTTCCTAATTTATCCTTAATGAATATGATTATCCGTTAACTTTTCTGTTAAATATTATTATATTTTTCGTTAATTTCTGTTAGTTCACCGTTAACTTACTCATTGATTTCAATAAGAAAAGTCTTAGGCTCGAACCACATCTCAATCAAAGTTGGCATAATTAGTACTCTATTTTACTCTTATTAAATTAAATAATAATTTAGTAGTTACAACAAAAAATAATACATATGCATTTCTTTAATTTAGAATTATGTGTCTACAATGCCTTTATTCAAAAAGAATTATTCATTATCAATAAATTAAATAAGAGAAATAATTTCATTAGATATATTGTCTTTATTTTTCTGCAATATAAAAAATCTTTACATTCAAAATTCAAATTCATCAATTGATTATATTCGCTACATTGTCCCTACAATGTCTTTAGGAATAAGGGTCAAATAGGCCATCGAACTGCACACCATAATGCAATTAGGCCACCCAACCTAAAAAAACTACAATTGGATCCCTAAACTAACGCATTTCATGCAATTCGTCCAATTTACAGGTTTTTTCAATTTTTAACAGGTCATCCAAATTTAAAATAATTTTTAAAAATACATAAATAAATAAATAAAATAAAAAAAAAAACTTCGTGTGCTGAGACGAAGATGCAGTACCTTCAAGAATTTTTTATGAAGAAATCTTCAAGAGTTTTTAAACACCAAAATTCATGAATCCTTAAACACCAAATATCAACACCAGACCATCTGTAACAAAAACCAACATGATTTTTTTTTTTTTTCTTTTTCTTTTACTGTGAAGAGAAACCAACATAAATTTTTAAAAAGAAATATTAATCGAATTCAACTGTAGATCTTTGTTAAAGATTCAAAAATGGGGTAAAACATCAACAGTGCTGCTTTTGGTGGTCGCTCCTCGATATCCACTCATCTTCTTAATCTGTAATAGATTCCTTGGTCCCAAAAGAACGAGAGAGAAATGGATTTTGATTGAAAATTAAAGATGTACATTTTAGATATGGATCGGAGCATGCAGTAGATCCGATGATCTGTAGGACTATAGCATAAGTTTTCCGACCGCTAATTAATGTGGATAAAAATTCCTGAAGGTACTACATCTTCGTCTCAAGCAGAGACAAAGTTTTTTTATTTTCATTTTTATTCGTTAATTTATTAATTTTTAAAAATTATTTTAAATTTGGATGACCTGATAAAAATTTGGAAAACCTACAAATTGGACGAATTGCATGAAATGGGATAGTTTAGGGATTCAATTGTAATTGTTTAAAGTTCAGTGGCCTAATTGCATTATGGTGTGCAGTTCGATGGCCTATTTGACCCTTATTCCATGTCTTTATTAAAAAAATTATTCATTATTA